GTGGGGAGGGGAAGGGGCTCAGCTGATCCCTGCCCCGCTGGGGAGGAAGCCGGGGGCGGGAGGCAGCCCGGGTTTCCCTCTGGGGCAGAGATGGGCACGTTTAATTTCCACCCCAGCCTTTGCCGTACACGACAGAGAAGAAGCCAGCGCTGCAGGGAAGGAAGCACGGAGAGAGCCGTGGGCGGCACGGCACGGCGCGGCACGACACGCCTGCCCAGGCAGGGGACCAACCATCTCGCCATGGCTCTGGGGGTCTTGAAGACGACATGGGGCAGCGTGGACATGGCCCTGACCAGCCTCTGCGCCGTCCTGCTGTGCTGCGGCCCCGGGCTGGGCGGCTGCCGCCGGGGTAGGTACTGAAGCGCGGGGGGCTCAGCGGCACAGCCCGTGTCATTCGCAGCCGGTGGAAAATGTCTGAGGGCTGAGAGCTCTGTAGTTAAAAATAGCTCTGGCATCAAAAAGGCAAAAAACCCAGAGTTTTGGGGTATGTGCAGCTGAAGCAAGAGAAATAGGGACGCTTGGGGCAGAAAGGGAGTTAAAGGTTGGAGACATGGACAGGTCCCCAGCCCTTGGTGCAGGTACCAGAGCTGCGTTGTGGGCACAGGGGTGATGTTGGGGTTTGGTGTTGGGTCTCTGGGTTTGCCAGTGCCCTGCAGCGTCTGGGGTTTTCTGCTCTGTCTCTCATGGCTTCAGGTTGTGCCTCCTGGTTTGGACTTGACCCGGAGGGAGCCAGGGTCCTGCATGTGGTTTTGCTCAGGGTGAAATTTGGGGGAGAAGGGGAGATGGTGGGGGAGGGAAGATGTGAGTCCGGGCAGAGCGAATGAGAGCCCTGATGAAGCCGTGTCCCTTCCTTCCTCCCAGCCCTGCTTGTTCGTTGGTGGCTTTGGGTGTTTTCTGCCCTGAGGGTGGGTGCAGGACTGGGCATCCCTTGGAGCAGACGTTACACCTTGTGCTAGGAAGATGCAGGGAAACATGGAAAGCCAAGTTCTGCTTTCAGAAGTCCTCTGAGTGCTTAATTCTTTATTGGCAACAGCGCTGGGTAGGAAGCAAAGCCCTGAGCCTGCTGAATATTTCCTGTTAAACACAAGAAACCCAGCACACGGCAAAAATGACATCTCTGGGTACCGGCACTGCTGCAGCCAGCACTGCTCATGGGAACCGGGACACTTCCCTCCCTCCCTCCTTCTATTTGGTCTCATGCCTCATTCCTCAGCCCAGTTTTCCATCTAATCCTATATCCATCTACTCAAGGAATTGTCCCGGTTCCTTTTCTGGTTTGTGATGCTGAGGTCATGGTCCTGTGGCCTCAGGCCAGTGCTGGAGGGACGAGAGGGACTTTCTAACTCTGTCTGCAAGCCCTGGGTGGCCATTTCTGAAAAGTGAAGATAAATTTCTTAACAGCAGGGACTTTTCAAAGCATTGGCAGTTTGAATTGCTTGGTCAGATAACCCGTGTGAAAAACAGGTTATTCTTCCTCCTTTTTATTGCTCCGAACAAAAGTTAATGCAGCAGCTGCCTCATCCTGCTGGATGGAGCTGGCTGAACTGGGATGTGGCATGTTTGCAGCATCTCCACTGCCCGGAGGGGTTGAACCCACTGGGATCATGGGCAGGGAAATGTGTTGAAGCAGCAGGGCTGGTGCTAATGGCCGGGGGAACCAATTGTCCTCTGTGCTGGGATCCACCTGGCAAGTAGGGCTGGGACCCCCCCAGGGTGGGTACCTGGCTGCCATGTACATGCAAAGAGGGGACAGGCAGCTGGAAAGGGATGGCATTGTAAGCTCCAGGTCCCTCTGCCCTGTCAGCCCGGCTGGAGATGGCAGATGCTGTGCCCTGGGCAGCCCCTGCCCACTCTGTGCTCCCGTCGGGGTTGTGGGTAGAGCTGGAGCACCCTGGCAGGCAACCAGGCATGCGATGGGCTGCATTGTGGGGTGCTGCCCCAGCCTAGGACTTGGTCCCTCTGCTCACTTTCAGAGGCAACATCAGCTGGAGGAAAGATGACTCAGACATTAAAATACAGTATAGGTTTAAAAATAACATAACCCCCAAAGTTTGTTTGCCATGGTGCAGGTGTTCTGGGGTAATTTTAGGTAGCCCAGAGCACAGTTTGCTCTTCTGAAACCACTTCACAGTAGAGTTACTACCCCTGAGCATCCTCCTCCAGCTGGTAGGCACACACTCGGGAGGAGAGAGACACAGGCTGATGTACCTCCCCGTGATCCAGAACGATGCTACGGAGTGGCCAAGTGTCAGGCTGCCCGCGTCACTGGCAAACCCCAGAGCCTGGCCATGGGTGAATTGGGTGCTGGCGATGGTATGGGGCCGGGCTCGCAAACGCTTGCCAGCAGGTTTTTGTAAATTCCCTTAGGGGGCCTTCAGGAGCTGAGGGTGAAACAGCTGAGGACTGCATGGAGCCTCTGGGTTTGGGACACAGGAGCACAACACCTCTCCATGGGATGGAGCACTAGCAGGGGTGATGATGGGCTCTCACCCTCTTTGCTTCCCTGGTTTCTGCACAGGGGAATGGCTGTGTCCATGACCTGTGCCCACTGTAACCATGTCTGTTCCTTGTTTCCTCTCTCCTAAACAGTGACCTTCTTCCCAGCCAAGTTAACTCTCCCTGCAGGAACCTCAGCCACCTTCTTCTGCAATATCTCCATGGAGAATGACTCTGGCTCAGAGTATAGCCTGAATTGGTACAAGGAGACCAACCACAGCCAAGCCAAAAAAATTGCTGAGATCAGCCGGAACAATCCCCACATGAAGACAGAGAAGTACCTGCTCACCAACCACACTCCTGCCTTCAAGATTGAGATCCTGAACCTTCACCAGAATGACTCAGGCTCCTACTACTGTGGGCTGATCACTTTCTTTGAACCTGATAAAGTGATGGAGAGCAACCGATCCCACCTGGTGGTCACAGGTCAGCCTGGGGGCTGAGTTGATGGGGACAGGTCATCGGTGTCAATCTGCGGTGCTGTGTCTCCCAGAGACACTGCAGCTGCAGGCCACAAGGCAGGTGGTACCCCACTGGGGGAGGACCTGGTGTGGGTCAGGACAGCACAGCTCTGCCCTTTCCCCTCTCCATTGCATGCCTGGTTGAGGCCCAGGGACACAGGCTGTCCTCCCCCATCCGCACTGCGGCTGGATCTGGTCCTCAGGCAGGAGGTCTCCATCCTGCTGGGCCTGTGTCCTCAGTAATGCTGTGGATGGAGACAGGAGACCAGCATAGGGAGCTGCCATCACCCCTGGATGGAGGCAGGAGACTAGCGTAGGGAGCTGCTATCACTCCTGAGCACCTCCTCTGGGGACAAGGATTGTGTTTAGGGTGACAACCAGGGCTCAGACCCTTTGGACAGCCAGTGTTGGTGTGGATATGGTTGTTGCAAAACCATGCTCTGGGAGTGTCTCATAGATGTATGGTGTAGGAGACAGATCTTGCAGCAAGATCTGCCATGCCTTTGCTTAGTGGCATGGAGGCTTTGTGGGGCTGAAGGTGGCCTTTTTAAAAACGGAAAAACACTGCAAAAGTCACTGTTTTTCATAACATCTCCTCCCAGCATGAGCTGAAGCTGTGTTGGCCCCAGGATATAGAAGCAGTGGGGAGGCGTGTGGAAGCCTTGTCCTCCATGGGGTTTTGCTGGACATGGGGTCATGCTGCAGGACTACCTGTGGGTGCAGAGCAGTGCCCTGGCCACCTGCACCCCAGCTCTCAGTAGTGTGGGATCATCCTCACCACCTGCGATGAGAAGGAATGGGACACGGCCAAGACATTCTCCCCATCAGCACAAATTTAGGGTCCCTGGAGGGATGGTGGGGCTGTGGCAGCCTGCCTGGGACTGAGCCCTTTCTGGGGACAGCCTTTGTGTTCCCCTGTTGACTTTCCCAGGGAATATAGAAGCCATTTTACACTCTAACCTGCTGTTCTGTTTCCTCTTTTTTGGATGGCTATTACAGCAGCCCCTGAGAAGACAACAGCCACTGATGAGCCTGAGATGGATGAAGACAACCCCCCGGACCACGTCAAGGCCATGCTCCTAGGCATCCTGCTGTTGTGTGGGGTGGTTGTGCTGCTAATCTTTGGCTGCTTCATCGTCACGTGCAGGAGAGGAGGTACGATCCCCCATGGAGGCCGTGCTGCACCAAGGGGCTGGGGTCTGCTGTGGCATGTCCCTATAGGACAGGTATCTCCATGCCTAGGGGAGGATCATAGAATCGTTTAGCTTGGAAAAGACCTTTAAGATCATCGAGTCCAACCATTAAACTAATGCTGCCAGGTCCACCACTAGACCATTTCCCTGAGCGTCACAGCTACATGTTTTTTGAAGACCTTTGGGGATGGTGACTCCACCACTTACTTCCCTTGGCAGCCTGTTCCAATGCTTGACAATCCTTTTGGTGAAAATTTTTATCCTAATATCCAGTGTAAACCTTCGCTGGTGCAACTTGAGGCTGTTTCCTCTTGTCCTATCACTCGTTACTTGGGAGAAGAGACTGACCCCCACCTTGCTACAATTTCCTTTTAGGTAGTTGTAGAGAGCAATAAGGTCTCCCCTCAGCCTCCTTTTCTCCAGACTAAACAATCCCAGTTCCTTCAGCCGCTCCTCATCACACTTGTTCTCCAGCCCCTTCCCCAGCTTCATTGCCCTTCTCTGGACACGCTCCAGCACCTCCATGTCTTTCCTGTAGTGCGGGGCCCAAAACTGAACCCAGTGCTCACAATCACTTCCCTAATTCTGCTGGCCACACTATTTCTGATACAAGCCAAGGTGCTATTTGCCTTCTTGGCCACCTGGGTGACCTGCTGCTTTGAAGGGTGCTTTGGGCTGTGCTTGCCCTTCGTAGAGGCCCCAGGCCACATGCTGTGGCTCTGCACCACTTGTTAACACAGTGGCTTAATGCTGCCCTTGATTCCCTCTCATGCAGTTTTCCCAGGCACCTTCTGGGCACCTTGTCGTCTCCCCACAACAGCACTGGGCATTGTTTTGGCCATGCCATGGGTACCTGGGACTGTCCCAGAGTGGACCCCTGAGGAGTTGCACCCCGCTAATCCAAATTAAACCCTGGACTGTGGGCTGGTATCTCACTTGTCCTTGTAATGCTCAGGGTGTTAGACCCTGAGTGGAGAAGGAGGGAGTATGGTGTAATGGTTGTAGTGTCCAGAGTTCTCCTAGGAGATGAGGGCTAGATCAGTCCTGGCCCAAGATGCTCACGCTGTTTTGGCACACAAGCATCTTCTAACCAAGTGTGTTACTTTGCAGATGTGCAGAAACCACCAAGTGAAAACGCGCCAGCGGTGAGTTTTCCATCTCTGATGCCCTGCTGTGCTGCAGGGGAGCAACGCGGCATCGCTGGGGTGCGGAGGGTGCAGGGCCTTCCTTTATCAGCCCTTCACAGGCTTCTCGCTTCTCCTGTCTTCTCTGATGCTGCTTGATCTTTTCTGCACAGCTACATCTGTTTTTTTGCACCTGCAGCACAGCCTCATCACAATCAAAAAACTGCTTGAGATAGGATGGGACCTCTCTAGTCCAACCCTTGCTCAAAGCAGGGTTATCTTTGACAGGGGATTGTGTTGCTGTAGAAAATGGGAGAAAATGTTTGTGTCCCCAATATATGAAGCTAAATTTACTCTTGCTTCAGCTAGTCCCCATTTCCTCTCCTCTTTTGCCAGGCACTGATGTGAGAAGTCTGGCTTCATCTTCTTTCCAACTCCATTAAGTAGCTGAAGGCAGAGAGTAGGTCCCCCCTTGCTCTGCCCTCTCCAGGCTGAGTAAACTCAGCCTCGGGTTGTCCTTGTGCACCTATGCCAGCTTGGAGCCCAATGGAGGAGTGGGAAAAGGGCTCCTAGCATGATACTGCCTTCCATGGCCAGGCAGGCAAGGAGCTGAGACCCACATGGCCTCAGCAGTGACCCCAAGGCTCACGATCTGGTTTCTCTGGGCAAATGCTATCTCAGGTCTGTGCATCTTTCTGCTTTGTATTGCTCTCACCCTCCTGGGATGCTTCAGATCTGGTTTCAGCACTTGCTCTTTACAAGGGGGCTTGTGCTGGGGATGGTGGGTACGTCTGGATAATGAATCTCCCTGATGGGTTTCCTTGCAGAAGGAAGAGAAGCCCCCCATGGTGTCCGTGTCCACCGTGGACTACGGTGTGCTGGAGTTTCAGTGCCCCTATGTGCCTGCTGAGACACGGCCAGTTGACCAGACTGAATATGCCACCATCATCTTCCCAGAGGAGAAACCCATCACACCTGAGCGGGGGAAGAAACACCAGGCTGAGAGGACTTGGCAGCTGCAGTCACAGCCCTGCTGATGGCCAGGGTCCCTCCTCACTGTGGGGACAGGCTGCCCTGGCCCCTTGCTCCCACCGCAGTTTGCAGTTGGGAGAAATCCAGCGTGCCAGGACTGGAGTGACAGAGGTGCCACTGCTGGAGTTGATATCACACAGCCCTGGCCACGGTGGGATCGTGGCTGTGGGGTGGGTACCATGAGATGGGGAATGTCTCTGCTGGGCTCCACATGCTGCCTCTTCACTCAGGGCAGGGAGGATGGGCTGAGGCAGAGCAGCGATGCCAGTGGGTCTGTGCCAAAGGTCATTTACATCATGCCTCAGTTTTCTGCCTCCACCTGGAGCTCTCTGGAGTGGCCACGCTGCTTCCCTTGCCCGGGTCTGACCCAACTGGCAAAGCACGACTGTGGGAGGAAATGCCAGAAGCCAGAGCTGGAGTGGATCCTGGGAGATGCTGCTCACAGGAGCCTGGGGCAGAGGCTGCCTTGGGTACTGATATTTAAAGAAAGCCCTGGGAAGCAGGGGGCTAGTTTTCCTTTGCTCTCCAGGCACTTTCCTCCTCTGCAAGAGGGGAAATCTACCCCTGTGTCCCTCCCTCTGCAGGTAGGAGACGGATCTGGCCCTCGGGGGGGTGAATAAAGGGTTCTATGTCCGGGGAGTTTGTTGACTCGTGATGGCAAGTGCGTGGGCAGGCAAATAACGGTTCTCGGCAGTGCGCAGGCGAGAGCCGTGAGGCGGCAGCGTCTGTTGTGGTTCCTGGGCCTCTCCATGCGATACGCACGCTGCTCTTCCACGAAGCTGCTCTTAATATTTCCTCTCACCCCTGTCTGAGCTGGTCATCCAGGTGCAGCTGCAAACCAAGCTCCTCCTTACCAGGCTGTTCTTGGGGACTTCACCCAGCCCATTAGGGACGAGCATCCCTGAGGTGCCAGGGGCTGGCTGCCATCAGCCAGGGCAAAGCTTGCAGTGTGGTGCTCAGTGCAGTTTTCTGGCTCCAAACTTCCATTTTCCCTCTTTAAAGTGATGCTGGGGCTGTGCCACCTGCAAGAAACCAGAATGGAAAGAAGTGACAACTGCTCAAGAGGGGAGAAACCCCAGTAAGGGGTGGCTTTGGAGACAGCAGAGACTTGCCAGGAGACCATGAAGCCCACTGGAAACAGAGAATAGTCACTTGCATCTCACACTTTGGCAGCACCATCATCAGGTTTCTTTCTCCCTCACCCCCAGTAAAACCAGTGCAGCCTTGTGGGAGTAAGCCCAGGTGCTGCAGGAAGGGATGAGGCAAGCCAGGCACCCCAGCTTTGCCCCTGTGGGGGCTGGAAAGTCCCTGAGAAACCTCCAGAGGGGACCAGATGGGTTGAACATCCATCTGGGGTGGCTTTCACCCTCTCTTAGGGCAGGACAGTGGATGTCAGTCCCCCTCAGTCCCCAGTGGCACTGAAGGCTCCTAGTAGCCATCATGGGCAGTACTATAACTCCCAAAACATTCCCTCATGCTGATGTAGGGCTCAGCCCGTTGGGGCTTTTTGCAAGCAGCAGCCTCACTGGCTGGAGACCTGCTGTGGCCGGCTGGGCTCAGCTCGCCCGGAAAGCCAAGGCAGGAGGCAGCTGCTGCAGCAGGTGAGAAGCAGGAGCTCAGTCAGCAGTTTTACTTTTGGCTTTCCCGTCAGACACGACACTGGTGAGAGGGTGGGCCCTGCTTCATATTTTCCATCCTGTCTCTTGGGCAGTGGAGGTGCTGGGTCTGCAGCCCTTCCTGCACCCCCCAACTGCAGCCATGGCTTCTTCCTGCACCCCTCAACTGCAGCCATGGCTTCTTCCGGAGTGGTTGGGGCTGGGTCCCTTCTCCTCTCTGTAGATGGTGGTCTGCAGCCAGCCAGAGGCTCCCAAGCTGTCCAGTGGGGTCAGAGGTTTAGCAAAAGCATTTCCTGCTGCCATTTGGGATGGGAGAGCACCCAGCTCACAGCGGTGCCTGTGCCCCTCCGGCCCCCCAGCAACCTGGCTGCAATCCTGCCCCTTGCAGGGAGCACAGCTGGGGCCTGGGGATGCGTGGGGTGAGTGGTGGGGATGCTCCAGGCTGCCAGGCTCCATCTGCTATCCCTGTTTGGAGGACAGAGTGCCCAGCACTGTCAGAGACCCGAGCTATGCTGCCCTGTGCTGGGCGTGGCACTGGCTGTGCTGGCCAGAGCAAGAACAGGGCTGGGATGAGCTCCAGGAAGGATGCAGGTTTCAAGCCCTGAAGCGAGTATCCCTGAACCAAGCAGAGCCGTGAGATGGGGGTCAGCCCCCACACCCCAGCATCCTGCTCAGGGATGGGGAGCAGAATTTGCTCACGTGCAGGAGCTGCCCTTGTCTTTCTGTGCAAGCCAGGAGAGCAGCCACCCACAGTTTTGACTCTCCCTCCAGCATGGTGACAGTAGTTCAGTTTTCCTGGAGTCACTGTGCAGGAGTTGGAGGAAGCTGTTTTACCTCCCATCCTGAGAAGTTCCCAGGTCTGGCTTTTCCAGCTCCGCTCTCCCACATTCTTCCTTCCCCTGCCCCTCACTCCATATCGCACCCCTCCTGCTTTGGCCCACCACTGCACCCATAGCAGCTGGCAGGTTTATGCCCTTTTTCTCTACTCCAAATTAAGCAGGAACCTAAGCAAACTAATTTCCACCTATGATGGTGGGTTTGCCTCAGGTTTTCTGGGGCAGGGCTGAGCTGACAACCTCAAGTCCTTTGGCTTTGGGGTACATCCTTTCTGCCGCAGCTGCTTTGTTGGCTCTGGAGGGGTGTGGGTGGCAGGGTTTCAGTTTAGGCTGCAGAGAGGAGTTTTGCTTTAGAGTGGTTAGGCAGACCCTAACACTTGGCTTTGGTTTTTGACCTTGCTTCATGCAGAAATCACAGCAGCTGGAGCTAACAACCCCTGTGCCGCAGAGCCAGCGGCAGAGTAAGAGCAGGACCCTGGTCTGGTCCTTGGCATCCCATTTTGGGAAAATTAAGGCTTACAGCAGTGCAAACAGAAGAACAAGGCACTGTAAAACTAAATAGCACCTGAGCCTGACTTTTCCTTGGTTTCAGGATGTGCCATCACTGGAAGTGACCCCTGAAAGGCCAGAGGGCATAGGTTTGGGTCTGCCCACCTCATTCCTACCAGCAACATGACTGTGACAGAGGATGCTCCTGCTAGCCCCTTCCCCTGTGCTTTGGGCTCACAAGTGCACAGCAGCCAAACTTGTGAGAATTCAAATTATTTTCCCTGTTGTGTCACACCAGAGCAAGTGTCCCCAGCCTGACTGTGGTGGGTTGACCCTGGCTGGATGCCACATGCCCACCAAAGCCCCACTCTATCACTCCCCCTCTTCAACTGGGCAGGGGGAGAAAAATATAACAAAAGGCTTGTGGGTGGAGATAAGGACAGAGAGAGATCACTCACCAATCACTGCCACGGGCAAAACAGACTCGACTTGGGGGAAAAAAACAAATTTAATTTATTACCAATCAGACAAGAGGATAATGAGAAATAAAACCAAATCTTAAAACACCTCCCCCAACCCCTCCCTTCTTCCCAGGCTTAACTTCTCTCCCAGTTTCCATCTCCCCTCCCCAGCGGCACCAGGGGACAGGGAATAGGGGTTGGGGTCAGTTTGTCACATGTTCTTTCTGCCGCTTCTTCCTCCTCAGGGGGAGGACTCCTTCCATCGCACTAGTGTGGCGTCCCTCTCACAGGAGACAGTCCTCCACGAACTTCTCCAACATGAGTCCTTCCCATGAATGACAGTTCTTCACAAACTGCTCCAGCCTGGGTCCATTTGATGGTGTGCAGTCCTTCAGGCACAGACTGCTCCAGCATGGGTCCCCCCGACAGGGTCACAGGTCCTGCCAGTAACCAGCTCCAGCGCGGGCTCCTCTCTCCACAGGGCCACAGGTCCTGACAGGAACCTGCTCCAATACGGGCTTCCCACAGCCTCCTTTGGGCATCCACCTGCTCT